AAAGTATTTACTCAAGATTTAGATTTAAAACTAAAGATCTTAGAACATTTTGCAAGAGCGGAGCACAAGTCTAATGCACCCTATGCACATATTTGATTGCAGCTTTTGATATATTCATGAGTTCAGAGGAATATTTTAATTAAATAAATGAAAAAATAAAAAGCTAAAAAATAAAATTTATGAATTGAAAATTTAAATGTTTGAAAAATAAATAAGTACATTTAAAATATAAAATAAAAGAAATCAATAAAATAGAAAATAGTAAATAACTGTATTTTTATTGCCTTAAATTAATTTTATATAAAAAAATAATTAAATCTAAAAAATTTAAGCTATTTATTTATTTATACGAGAGATTTAGTTTCAAAATTGAGATACTATTGCTTTTTGCTAAAGCAGAACCTAGACCTGATGCACCCTCGTCATCAATTTAGTTATCACTTTTTATTAATTCATTACAAAGATTTTTTTGATATAAAAAAATTTTTTTTAATGCTAAAAATCACAAATAAAATCTACAAATAAATAATTAAATTAGAAACTTCAAAATAAATTTAAAATTTTACCTTAGATCTAATGTTAAATTAGAGATATTGTTGGATTTTGTTAAAACATTTAATAATTCTGATGCAGCCTATGAACCAATTAAATTATCACTTTTTTTATGTTTAAGCATACAATAAAATATTATGAAATAATAAATTGTAGACATGAAAAAGTAAAAGTAGAAAATTGAATGATATTTGTAAAAATTAAATTTAAGTATGATTAATTAAACTTGAATAAAAATAAAAAAATTTAAGTAAAAAACTAATTAAAATATTATTATAGTGAATTATTTTTTTGTAAAAAATAACTCAATTAAAAAAAATATACTATTTTATTTACTAGAGATTAAGTGACAATGTTGATATATTAGTGCATTTTGCCAAAGAGTTGCATAGCATTAACGCACCTTATGAGCAAATAGAGTTGTAACTTATTATATATTCAATATAAATTTATTTCTATATACCTTGAATTTTCATTAACTAAGGACGGTTGACAAAATATTTTTTCTAATAAATTGATTAAATTAAATTT